GTTAGAGTTTGAAGTAAAAGATTTTCATTTTTTGAAAGTCAAACTTATGAAAGGTGCGGCTTGAGCAAGAAAGTATTTTAAGTCCAAGATATATAAGACACAATAAAATCATTAAAAATTATTTAAAACGTTTACTTAAAGGTTGATACTATCAGTTGGCACGTTAAATATTTATGATACTTTTCATATTAAAATTATGAGAATATAAGTTATTGATACAAATTAGACAATAACACGTAAAAAAATTCATGTGCTGAGAGATTTGATTTATATGAAAGTATATAAAAAATTTAAATTTGACATTAAAAAGTTGAGAAACATATAAATCCTCAATATAGAAAAGAAATTAAAGAGCAAATTAGAAAGAAAAACAAATTAGGAAAAATAAAAAGAACCACATAAATTTCTCTATTCAATTGAGTAATTAATAAGGAATTTTGATAACAAAATTTTAATAAAAAGGGGAAAATTATAATACCTAAAAAAAATGACAAAAGATAATACTAAAATTTGTTTCTAAATTATACTTGTTATCACCACATCCCAAAATCATCAAAAATAATTTATAAAATTTACATTTTCATTTGGATCATTTTAATATACAAAAGTATGTATTAAATTTCAAAGTATACAGAAGTTATTTAATTAGTTCATATTTAAATCAATTTTCAAATTTATTATTAAAAGGATTGTACCAAAATTATTGTAGCAATAGTACTATAGCATCATTACAATAGCTAATCTAACTTTCGTTGCATGCAATGGCAAAAGTGAATTGGGTGGTCTTAAAGGGTTATGATGAAGTATAGTAGTTACTTTATATAATAAAACACACATTGTAGGAAATCATAAATAGGGAGCTGGAGAGGGTTGGCTGAAGGAGAAATAGAATAAATTAGAAGAGAAAGAAGGGGGTAAGGAAAAAAAAATTTGAAGTTAAAAGGTTTTTTTTTTTCTTGTTCTTTTCTATAAGATGTGGTTTCGAGTAAATAGACCTCCAAGTGAGAATGAGGAAAAAATATTTTTGAGAGAAAAATTCTATTTTAGAATTATTTGAGGTATAATTGCATTGATAAACTAGAAATTTCTTTTTAAGTACAGAATTTAATATTTTTATTAGATTGCATACAAAAGATCAAAATTTAATGGTGATAAGTTTGAAGAAGTCTGTAATGTGGAGTGGAGAATAATAATTAAGGTGAGATAAAAAGAATTAGTAGGAGAATGTATTTTGTAAGGAGACAGTTAATGAAAAGTAGTGTGTAAGTGTGCGTAAGAGTGCTAAAAAGTGAGTGTGTGCATGTAAGACGAGAGAAACAAGAGGAAATCGATGGATAATAGTGCACAAATGTGAGGAAGAGCATTTCTAGCGAGGGAATTCATGATTCATTCATTCTAAACACTTTTGTATTGTGTTTTAAATTGTTAAATTGAAAGTTTTCCACAATTTCAATGGATATATTTAGTAGCTAGGACTTCTTATTTCGAATTTGTAAAATTCTTAATTTTCTATAGAACATCTTGAGTTAAAGTGTAATTTTGCAAACATTATTCAATTTTCTCCCATATTACTGAGTAATTGTATCGGTCGTATGATTATTTCAAATTCATTGTGATCTAATAACCTCGACGGAGACAATAGAAGAACAATATAAGAACTTTGACAAAATTTTTAATAGAATAAACATACATCTAGTTGGAATTTTGTTATCATTTAAGAAATAGGCCTTGGTAATTTTTTCATCTTGGTTCCTAGAAATATATGACACACAATAGGATGCATGGGAGAAAAAGTATTTATGTGGCCGACCCCACTTAGTGGGATAAAGGCTTGTTGTTGTTGGTTCCTAGAAATATATAATGAATTGGATTGAAAGATTAAGGTTTCTAAGATCTCCACGAAGAGAGGAAACCAAAGTTGTTCATGATTGAGAATAAACTTTTGCAGCGACTGTGGAAAATTAGGTGAAAAAATCATGAATCCAAAGTAAACTTGTCTATTAGACAAGTTAATTTAAAGAACTATGAATAAAAAAAAACTTGTGAACAGTGTTAATTGGATTAAAATCAGAGTTAAGTAGTATTAGTAAATCTTTGCGAATTTCTAGTGAAAGTCGAGGAACAATCTTTTTTACTTATTCTATATTACTTGAAATGGCACGCATATTTGTGTATAACATAGCAATCAGCCATAAATATAGAAAAAAATAATATAATATATAAAAATATTACAATAAAATGTCAAACCTTTTATAATTGATAAGCAAACAATGATAACCTACAAAAGAAATGGTAAAAAATCAGACTAGACAAACTTTAGTAAAAAAATAAAAAGGGTTTTTGACGTAATACCAAAATTTAGATGTTTCAACCTGCATCAACAGATCATTGATAACTATAATATCGAGCTAACCAAATTTTATCAAATGTTATTATGGGCGGTGACATAATGATTTAAATGTGCTTAAAAGCCTATATAAATAGTATATAATATTTTTCAAATAACCGGTATTAAGGCTAATAAAGAAAATGAAAGTAAAACAAATAATTTCACATACAAAATAGACTAGCATAGAACTATAAAATATTCAATACTCAATAGTTATACTAATTTCATTATTTTATGTATATTAAAATAATATAGTAAAATTCTTTATCTCATTGAATGTTAAACTCATATGATACTTTAACTTTAGTTCTATGATAGAAGCAGATAGAGCAACAAATAGTTGATCAATTTTGTTTGTATCAAATCATTTTTGTTGTATAATTTTGGATGTATTATAGAATGTAAATGGGTATTATATAAATTATAGAATTTAATTGCATACAAATTTGTATTAGATTTTATTTAGAGCCATGCATTTTAATTTTGATGATTATTTTACGCACACTTTCGTATTATTGTTTATGATGAATGTTAGAGTATTTGAAGTATAATAAATATTTTGTGACAATTTAGGCACATTAATTTTTTTTCTTTTAATTTTGATTAATGAAAATCTGAAGTGTTTGTAAATAATTCTTTTTTATTGCAACTTTGATTGACTGGAGAGTATTAAATGGGCGTGACATCCACAAATCGTTGTGCTAAGTTGTATTACTTACTATTCAAAAGTATGCATTTGTTAAATTCATAATGTATATTTTCCTCTTAAAAATATTTTAAATTATTTGGAAGCTTAGTATACTTTTTGAAGTGAGCTAAAATACTCAAAATATTTTATTTTATAGCATATTATTCAACATATAGTATTATATTATAATTAGAAAATATGACATCTACATAACATCCAAAAATTGTTTAATTATCTTTCTCTATTTACTTTTTATATGTTTAAAGGCAAAGGAGCTTCTCAAAACAATGCTAGTATATTAAAGCTATATCAATGTTAAATAGGAGTTGCATATGATGGCCCATCAAAACACTTGTATAGAATTATATGTATAGCCATGAGCTACTTTATATTTTCTTGTGCAAGGCTTAGTTTGCTAGAATAAAACATTCGAAGATGATTGATTGTTTGATAAATTAACATATTAGTATAATATCACTAAAATAGTTTAACTCACATGAACAAATAAATTAAGGCACCAAATTATCTTTACATTTTTTATTATTTTTCTATTTACATGTGGATTATAGAATAGAAAACATAACTCCCAGATTATCTTCTCTTATTGTTAGTGTTTTGAATTTTAACAACACCCCGCCTATCTTTGGTCAGAGGTTGAAAATACATAAGCAATGTTGAAGTCGTGACGACCATCTCTGCTAATACCTAATAATTATAAATTTATAATTAAGTCTCGATTAAAGGTAAGCATTGATGGCAGACATTCTTCTTCCAGAATCCGAATCAAAGATAAGAAAATAAGAGGAAAAAATTTGGTTGGGTAAAAAATTTCACAGATGTAGCTATCTGCAAACTTCAACCAAATAAAAGATCAACAAACACAATAGGTCTTCAAGTTCCAGTTAGATCAAAGTTCAACGGACAATGAGTTCTTCAAATTTTGATTGGATTAAAAAAAAAAAAACATTGAAGGGGTACTATGCTCAAATCAAAGATTTGACCTATGTAAGGTTTTCAATTTTTGAACAAATCAAAAATCAACGAACACATGCGGTATTGTGGTTAGTTCAAAAATAAAAAGAATATAGAGCCCTTAAATTCTTTTCAAATAGAAGATCAATGGGTGCAGAGGCAAAAGTCTAGATGCATCAGAGACATGACAGATATTGAGAGTAAATATTAATCCTATAAAGATAGGGAGAAACTAGCTCTTCCTAGCTAGAGAGGAAGAAATTGTCATGACCCCTCCCAGTTTTTTCCCCTCAAGGTAGATATAATTACAATGTGGGGAGGTCCCCATTAGTGGAGTTGGTAGTTTGCGCTCTGTGTGATCTATGCAGGCGAGGTAGTAAGTTGTGCTGGTCAAGACACCAAGAGTTTGTGGTTATCAGGAGAAGGCTTTCTTGACATGTGAACTACGAGTAGAGCAGCCATGTTAGGCAGCAAGCAAAGCATGTAAAGTTCACTGACACTAAAATGGCGAGCGGTCCAAGCATGGGGCTCCTTGCAAGATTAAGTACAAGTGTGTTCTGCCTCTTCTTCTACCTCTTCCTTTTTTTATTAGTAATCTAGATGTCATTGCAACTATAAAATATTTATAATAGCAAAACCAAACTCATTATAGATAACAATCTTTTTGGAAATGAACAAACTGTAAATTGGTTTGAAAAGTGAGAGTTGAGCATCCACAATCATAGAAACTATTTTTTGAGGCGGAACCTTACAACTCATTTAGAAGGCAAAATGAAATGCCACAAAGATATTACTCATTAGCGATCAACTTGCATTTGAAGAAGAAATGCCCCCAAGAAAACAGATATTTAGAATGCCGAAGTAGTAGAGAAAAAGATGGAAAAAGAAATCAAAGACTGAATTGGAATACACAAAGCAAAATATAAAAAATCGAGACAAAAGAGAAAAAACCTCTTCGCCCTCTTTGGGTCAATGGCAGCAAGCTCCGCCAATTGTTCGGCCGACATGGCCTTCTTCGCCTCCAATACTTCTCCAAACACCCCATCCCCCCTCGCGACCGCCGAAGAAGATATGGATGATCCGTCCACCGATTTGCATTGTCGATGCTTCGGCCTCGTGGTCGCCGTCACAACACCACCTCCGGCATTGTCAATCTTCCCCTCATACAACGCGCCTGAGTTCTCCGCTGCCCAATCGCGGCACAATCCGCCCTCCAACCCCGATCCACTCCCCTCCAACTTGGTCCCGATCTTGTCGATGTCCATGAAAGTAGAGAAGAGATCGTCCTCAGACACGATCTCTTCGAAGCTCCCATTCACCGTGGGCTTCCCAGAGCTTAGGTCAATGTCCTTCGGGATCCGGAATCCAAGCTCCGATATGGTACGCCCCAGCATCGGTACCGTCGCTTGGCGCTGGAACGTGAATGGACCTTCACGGGTCGGTGCCGACGCCTGCGCCGGCGCCGGCCCTACCGGCCAGAAGGCATTGGCCGCTACCTGTCGCGAAAGCATGAGGTTTGGGATGGGGTTATTGCTGGGAGGTTGGGGTGGACGATGCTGATTATTCTGCATTTCGTGTCCTCCTTCATCAAGCGCCTCATAAGGAAAGAAGAAGCACAAAGTTCGAAATTGATATCCCGTTAGGAGGGGATGTAGTCCGGATATGGAGCTATATCCCACACTACAAGCATATAAATACGCAATCGCCAATCGCCAATCGCCTCTGACTGATCTCCTAAAAAGCATATATTTGACTTTAGCTGGGCTACGCGTTAACATTCATTTTACAAACAAGTTCTACCCGGCTGGGTCAAGGAAAAATTTGAATTAAGGGTGTACTTGGGAAACAGCTCTAAGACTATTTTGTCTAGAAAAGAAGCTTATAATGAATTGTTAGAAAATTGATCAAATAGCTAAAATCTATTTAGGAGATTTGTTGTATTGTTGTTGTATCTTATGAGAAAATATGTTTTCTCTTTATATATATAATATATTTTTATAATTATAGTTTTCATAATAATTACACTAAAATAACAGAAAGATGTTTAAGTGTAAAAACAAACATTAATATAGTGTAAAATAATCTAATACATAAGAAAATGATCAATTATTTAAAGTATATAGCTATAATAATGAGGAAACTATAGTAACCAACAAGCTTAGAATGATGTTCATGTTTAAGTGCTGATGATCAAGTCTTCAGGACAATGTGCTCTCCATGGTGAAAAGGCATTGGTTGCTGCCTGTCGCGAAAATATGAGGTTTGAGATGGGGTTATTGTTGGGTGGTTGGGATGGATGATGCTGATTTTTCTACATTTTGTGTCCTTTTTCACGAAGCGCCTTATGACGAAAGAAGAAAGCACAAAGTTCAAAATTGATGTTGCGTCAGGAGTTGCGATGCAAAGTCTGGACATAGTGTTATATCTCCACACTAATAGTATACATGATCGACTGTAATTGATATGCTAAAAAGCATATATTTGACTTTAGCTAGGCAACGTTAACATTCTACGAAGAAGTTCAACCCAGCTCGAAACGTAGCAGCGATGTGGACAATGGAAAATTATGGAAGAATTAAAATTTAGGGACTATTTGGGACAGTTGCAGTTGTTTGAAGAAGCATCTGTGAAACTGTTGAAGAAGCAATTGTGAAGCTGCTGAAGAAGCAATTGTGAAGTTATTGAAGAAACTGTTGTTCAAAAAGTTGTGGTGGCTATTACAAAAAATAAAAATAAAAAAATCTAACCACAGCCTTCTTGCAGCCACTACGTTAGCCAATTCTAATGTGAAAACACAGCATCCCGCTAAAGTTTTTTTAGAACGCAGAGAAAACACGGTTTTGTCAAACATGAAAAATTGAGGTGTCGCACTGCACCGCCACCCCAAACTCACTGTCAGGGTGTTTGGAGGCAGTTGCAGTAGCTGTTTCAAAAAAAAAAAAATTGTGAAATTGTTAAAGAGAAAGCTATTGTTCAAAAAATTGTGATGGTTTTTATAAAAAAAAAAATTGAAAAAATTAAACTGCAGCTTTCTAGCAGCCACTAGAGGTAGTTTGGTATAGTGGGAAAACACAGCTTTCAACTGCATATTTTTGAGAACGCAGTCAAAACATAGTTTTTTAAACAAGAAAAACTGTGGTACGACACCACATCGCCGTCTCATACACACCTTTAGTCTTAAAAAAAGGAGATCAGACCCGAAATTCTAATATTAGAATATTGAAAAGGAAGAAGAATAAATGATAGAAAGAGCTTGATTGTGAAGATGGAAAGTCAATAAAGTGCTAAAAAGAGTGAAATTGAGATTAATTTAGTTGTAGTTGTTAATGATTTTTACTCGTCAATTATTTTCATGCAATTGATTTTAGATTGTGTTTATAATGTATTATTTTATGTTGTTGAGATCACATTTTTATGGTGTTTATACTTTCTTTTATTCATTAAAAATATAGACTTATAGCAATATTGTGGTGGAACACTCTAAAATGTGTTAAGTGTTACTCTTATGTTGTTGAAATAACATTTTTGTGATATTTTTAAGTTATGTTTGTTCAATAAAAATCTTGATTCTTAACAATATATTGTTAGGATACTTTAAAATGTGTTATTTGTAACTTTTTTTATGTTTTTTAAATCATCTTTTGTATGATTTGGACGTAGTTTTGTTCAGTAAAAATGTTTACTATTAGAATATATTGGCGGAGCACTCCTAGTCAACTAGATGTTTTCTGAAAAAAAAAAAAATTATGCTGTTAAGATCACATTTGTATAGTGTTCAGAGTTACTTTTGTTCAGTAAAAATATTGATTTTTAGAAATATTTTGATAAAATATTTCTTCCTAGTCAACTAGATGTTTTCTGAAAAAAAAAAAATTATGCTGTTGAGATCACATTTGTATAGTGTCCAGAGTTACTTTTGTTCAGTAAAAATATTTTGATAAAATATTTCCCGTGTTGTTTAAAACAATATATGATACAATTTTAATTAGGTTTTGTTCTATTTACCATTGTTTTTTGTTCACGACTCTTACTTAGAACAATATGAGGGTACTCAGAGAGTATTCCTCTATTTTTCAAGAAAAGACCTTATGTAGCCCTCTTGTGTTATATTTAACAATAAATTATGTTATTTCTAAGGACTTAGATATCAAACCGAGGGCCATGCATTTATTCAAGATAGTCTGAGTATAGAAGCTTATGTTAGTTTAATAGGTGCCCATGTTACTTCTAAAGACTAGGACATACAAAACAATGAGCCTACCCCCTGAGACTAAAGAGAATACCATAGAATAAAGTTAATAATGTTTTTAGATGAAGGTATTTCAGAACACTTTAAAACTGTAAACACTCCACGCAATGACAATTAAGAGAGGTTCATGGTTATGTGTTTGGTCCTAATCAACATATCCCAATGTTGTTGCGATGACGAAAAGCCATGACATCTTGACCAGGGACTATTTTCCCAAAGTTTAGGCTAGTCTGCTCTTAGAATTCCATATAGAGTCTAGGATTTCATTTCTCATCTGGAAATGCTTCTCTACGTGACTCTATCCTTAGTTTAGGGTTTCCAACCATTTTTGTCAGTCAAATTAAATATCACTGATTTATCTTTTGACTCTACCTGATAAGTACAAACTCATCATCAGTCCCTTCCGAACCTTTCAATTATCACTCTCCAAACTTCATCCTACATCTTGTTTGGGCTTTACCATGACATGTCATCATCAAACTATAAGTCCTATCCCTTTGAATTTAATTCTTTCAATTTGGACCCTCCACTTACTTTCAATCACCTCAATCATTAAAATTTTGATCTCTGACAATTTGACTCATTACATTAATCAAGAGTTTTCTTCAGAGCTCACGGCTCTAAAGATGTAAGTAACTATGAGGGCTTACCTTTATAGGGAATGAGACCCCATAATTAAAATAAACCTTATCTTAAATTCTTAAGATAAGGAAAAAACTTTGGTTCTGTAGACTAAAGAAGAATCTCATCATCCAAGAGATCATGCCTATTTTAAAGGTAATATTTTCTTTCTTTGGGAAAATATATTATTTTAAAAGTGTCTTTCCCAATCACCTAGATAGAATTCTTTCAAAAAGATCCATGGTGTGTGGTGACATGATACACCGAAAATATATGCATTTTAGACCCATATTTTATATTTATTTTTGGTGATATTACACTTTAATGAAAAGTATTTTGACGTTATCTTGCAGGTTGTTGATTTCTAGGGTTTAAAGCAAAGATGATGAAATTTTGAGTCAAAATGACATTTTTGAGGAAATACTCAGCGCCGACAGCGCCAAGGTCAGCGCCGACGGCGCAAAACAATCAAAAGCTGGAGAATTTTTACTCAATGCCGACAATGTCATACTAGCGCGACGGCGCCAAAGGCGATTCAAACCCCGTTTCTAGAAGGTTCGATGTATTTGGACAATTTTTTAAGAGTTTTTGGAGGCACCTCTTGGAGAACCGACCTTGGACTTTATTTGGGGCCAAATTTCATCAGAAAAGGGGCTCCTCTACGTTCATTTTTTGCTCTACAACATTCCACCACGATATATATCCGTAACCCATCTTCATTCCACCACATATTGGAGTCAATTAGTAATTTTACTTTCATAGTTTAGAGTTTTTGTGGTGAGATTTAGTGTGAAACTTTTTGTAAGAGTGTTGGAGAAGGAGAAAAGTGAGAGAGTTCTTCTTCTTGCATTTCTAAGGAAAGACTACAAAGTATTTGCTTTGAGAAAGAGTTCTAGATAAGTTTGTTTGTTTATATAGTGTTGTATGAACTTTCTTTTATATATGAAATTTGTGTTTGTCGAGTCTTTCTCATGAATTCTGAGTAGTTTCCTCTATCTTTCCCCCTACTCTGAGATCTGGAGAAATGAAGAGATAATATGAATGTGTCATAATTAAAATATAAAATAAATTGTGATGATTTT